AGTGCCTCTTAAAGTTCATGCACTATTCAGTGGGAAACCAACAGTAATCGCAGTGATCTGGTGTTGGAGGGTGTTCACGGGACATTGTCTGTAACTGTTAGTTCTTAAGCATACTACATGCATGAGTATACAAAGCACAACAAGCACACACGAAAGGTAGGCACATGGGGGGGGGTAGCATATATATATATACATGCATATATATATACACATACATACATATATCATTAGATTATAATGAATCCCAACAGCTTATACCTTTAACATCCGCTATGTGGGAAAAATGGGCCCCCACAGCGTGCCTTTCTGTTTCTTGAATTTTCACGCTCCTAAAACATCTGCGGACGGCTCAGGCCCTTAACCCTGGACCAGGCCCTAAATCCCAAACTTTAAACCCAAGACTCCTTTTGCCCTCGCGTCCGATTCACCGAGGCTGATGACAGCACAGCCCAACAGGTACAAGAGTGAGGCGCAACCCTCTGCAGCAGTCGAGGGATGTCTTCTAAACCGGTGTTGGTTGTTTGGCTCACTCAAGGCTTACGAGTGAGGCGCAACCCTCTGCAGCAGTCGAGGGATGTCTTCTAAACCGGTGTTGGTTGTTTGGCTCACTCAAGGCTTACATGATGAGAGCTGGCCCTGTAGGAGGAGTTTGAAGACCCTAGGCCCTGCCCCAACAACGGCTTTGCTTCGTCATCACCCTCGCGGCCCCAAGCCGCAACAAACCCTAAAATGCAACATGCACTACATATGGGGTTATCTTTTTCGGGGACACTCCGGGATTGAAGCTTGTCGTGGGAGCCGATGTCTCGACCTAGCCCCATCTCTCCAGTCCATGTGTTAGCATCCCTTTGCTGAGCTGTACAGTGAAGCGAAGCGTTCACTACGCTGAATATTTCAGCTTCTTCTCACGTCTGTCGTAGTAATGCGCTTCCGCAGCTTCTTCGATTTGGGGTTCAGGATGCACGCAGTTTGAGAAGCCTCGGCGAAGGAATAGTGCTGGGAGGTTTGGGAGATGACTGTTTCAGGTTTGCCAAGAAGGAGCGGTCGATCTAGCTGTGGTGTTGCCACGCGATTTTTCTTATGTCATATCAAGAGCTCTTTCTTTGTGTTTGTGCTCTGCGCTCCCCCGTTGGGCTGCGCCGAATTCATCGAGGACATACCTCAAAGTCGAAGCAAGACTGATGGTGCCAAGATTCCCCGTTATCAATATTGCCTCCTCCTCCCTTTGATACCCAAGCTCTCCCACAAAGCTTATTTCTTCCCAAACATGCAGGAGACAGTGCACCTCAACTCGGACATGGTGCTAGGATTCTCTTACAGGCATCATCGACATTCTCCCACCAGGCGAATCACGAGCCGTAGCACGGTAGTCTTCCGAATGCAAGATTGTGTCAGTCGTCGATGACCCTGCGATGACATGCAGTGGGTTGCGCTCGCCCGCAGTTTAGGGTGCACTTAACTCAAGGGTGGAAACAGGTTTGTCGGTAGGGTAATTGTAGCCAAAGTTGGTTATAACCCAACTCAAGAACTTACGGCCACACTTACAACTATCCATGACACTTCAGGTATGGCAGCATGTCCGTGCCCCAAGGTTTTGGAATCTGCTCCAGTCCTATCTTGCCGATGTTGTTTCGTGGTTTGGGAAAGCGGGGCCATGCAGCTGTCAGCTCATTGCAAGTCAAGCGATTGGAGCGACGGCTTCAGATTGTTGACCTGAGCCTTCGTCAAGATGCACCGGGTACATATGAACACTTCCGCTGCCTCCCACATGTTTCTCAAACAGGAAAATTCCTTAAGGTATTGTGTGCACTCACCTAAACACCGCTCGGAGGACAGGGAATGAGAACTTCCAAAAATACCCCCTCTGGTTTTGCTCAGGGTGTGGTGTTTAGGGACAAGTGGCTTCATAAAGCTCTTCGAAGACTGCAGTCGCTGGTTTCACTTGAGGGCGTCGTCATTCTCTTGGCGAGCCGAGCTGTCCAGTCTGCGTTTACATGCAACGCCAGATCATGCAGTATCCCTCTAACTAGCTCAGGGCCATATCTTAAATTACAGTAGAATCCCGAATATGATTTCAGGTATTTTCCTCAATTGCGGGATCTTGGAGGATTAAGGACGTCGTGCTAGTTGTGGATGACCCTGTGATGCTGTGCGGTGGATTGGGCTTACCCCGCAGTTGAGGCTGCACTTGATGCAAGAGTGGCAACCGGTTGCCAGAAGGTAAGTATAGTCATAGTAACTTATAGCCTGGATTTATGGATTTATGGCCACACACTTGGAGCTATCCATGACTCTTCAAGCAGGACAGCATGTCCGTGCACTCTGCCCTTCAGTTAAGAGGGACTGGGCGTATAGCTACAGGTCATGATCTCATGATGAAAAGCAAGACTTTGACAGTGGCTCGCACACCTCCTGCAAAGGGAGGGTCAATCTGGGTTTGAATGTGCCTAAAAGCTCCGAGCCGATGGGGCTTACAGGCCTACTCGCTAAACTCAAGCTGTATGCCCTAGTCACACTGACGTCGTTGTGCAGTAATAAAGGAACATTCCTTAACAGATGGAAGGGATAAGTGGTGTGCGATATCGGAGTGTCTGGTTCCTCTGCACCTTGTGTATGGGTAGAGTCGGTCGCCTCACGAAGCTCTGTCAAGACGGCATTGGGTCGTAGACCCCTCAGATACAGGCCAGGAGGGCCATGTCTCTCCGACCCAGCGCTAGAAAAGCAGCTTAGAATGACTTAGAGGCTTTGAAGATGGCTTGACAGGTAATTCAGAAATAAAAATCTGAAGATCTTTCTGCAATAGCGGATTGAAGTCTTTCGCATTAAATGGAGTCAATGCGATAGACAGGTATGAACCGAAGATATAACAACTGTTTGGGTCACTGCACTACCCGAGGCGTGTTACCCCTGCCGGAATCTGAAAGCTCGAGGGTTCAGTTGCAGAAGGCCGGTTGAGGATGTAGCTTAAACCCTGAACCCTAAATCCTAAACCCTAAAACCCTGAACCCTAAACCCTAAACCTTAAACACCGAACCCTAAACCAGGGTCTAGATCTACGGGTTTAGGGTTTAGGTTTCGGGTTTAGGGACATACCGAGCAGAGCGTATCTTTATTCAGAGACGTGCCTTGCTTTGGGCATCCCATTGCAAATATCATCTTTCTCAATGAGGGTTTTCGGGCGACCCTAAACTCCAAACCATATAATATGAACGCGAAGCTCTAGCAGACCCTAGACCTTGAAACATCCCTGCGGCTTGGGCTACCAGCTCCCACTCTTCGGTCGAAGATCATGGCTTGCCTGGAGAACCCAAGACTTTTTACATAAGGAGCAAAATGGAAGCCTAAGTGATTGGTAACACCAGGGCTAGCCGTTGGAGGTCCTTCTCATAGTTATACTACAGTATATCCCCAGGGTCCTAACCGACATCAGCCCTGATATTGTAGAGCGGGATCTTTTACCATTTACCTCTCAAAATATTGGCAAACTTTCATGTGACTTACTGAGCATTTCTCATAATTACGGGGTATTGGGCTCTCTGGGTGCTTATGAGTTGTTGATGCAGAATCAGATGGGCTTGCCACGGTAGTTCTTGGCTGAGGAGGTTGAAATGGCGACTTGTCGACTTGTCAGGCAAAGTTTTCTTCGCTCTTCACTTCTGGGATAGCGATGTGACCTCCGAATCGGTAGGATTTCGAGACTCTTGAGGTTTAGGGTTTAGGGTTTGGGGAGCTAGCAGGCTATAGGCTGCATCGAGGCTGCACAGCTAAGACCGGACTGTGGCGTAGGTTAAGGTTCCCGTGCCAAAACCCTAAGAGCGTGCAAGCACCCAAATAGAAATGATTAAGTTCCCAAGTTCCATACTCTGACTGGTTTTTGGTCCCAAAACCCTACTATTTGAGCACTTGGACCCTGAGGGAAACACACCAAAATACGCACAGGCAGTGTGACGCGAGCACAAGGCATCAATGTCGGGAGCAGGCTCCAAGTTTATAGGTCTAGCGGTTTTACAACGAACTCGGAGTCGTGGAAAGGCTAAGCGCTCCAGTCACGCATGCCCCGAGATCCAAGCCCATGTACCCTATAAGAACCCTGCAGCGCCAAGTTGGGCGAAAAAGCAAGTCCTGACCTTTCGACTGCTTTATGTTTTTCAATCTCGAGGCTCGTCATTACCGCAGCTTTAGCGCTCATGGCTTGAGCCTGTCTCACAAGTTGCAGCTTGGTGGTCACTGTGTCGACGATGACCCTGTGCTGACATGCAGTGGGTTGTGTTCGCTCCGCAGTTCAGGGTGTACCTGACGGATCGGGGGAACTTGGTAGATAGGGTTTTAAGTGAGTTAGCGGTAGGCATAGCTGCTGATCGCCCCAAATCAGGGAAACTACATTTAGACTGTCACTGGATTCAAGACGGGTTGCATCTCCGTGCAATCTACGACTCTACGCAACCCATCCTGAGCACACCCCGCACAGCTTTTCCTTTGCATCTCCTGCCTGTTTGTTCGAACCGTCTGGAATGGCAAAACCATGCCCTAAGCCGTGGGATCTTTGTGGTTTCGGGGTTGTTTGCTTTCGCGCGAGCAGCCGCGGCTAATGCCGTCAGCTCATTGCATGTCACACGAGTCAAACGACGGCCTCAGACTGTTGACCTGAGCCTTTGCCAAGATGTATCGCGCTGGCCTTGTAGCTACAGGTCACGACCTCACGATACAAGAGCAAGACTTTGACTGTCTCACACACCGCCTCAATCTGGGAGCGCCCGGGGGGCTTAATCGGCACCATATGCCATGATAAAGGAGCAGTCCTGAAAGTATAGTAGGGATGCTTGGGGATATCGGAGTCTCTGGTTTGTCTTCGCCGATACAGGGTTATAGCAGTTCTGAAACACCGTTTCTGTTTATGTTTAGGGTTTTGCGTTTAGCAAATCGCGCGCCCCAAGAAGATCTTATTCGTGGCCTTGGCTTGGGGTTGAGCTAAGCGCTAAACCCTAAGCCTTAGTGGGTCGAGGGTTTTGGGGTTTGCGGCTTTAGGGTCGGGGCTTTAGAGCTTCGGCCCCACCCCCTCTACTTTTTAATAAGGGCTTTGAGGACTCCGAGACCCTAAACCCCTGAACCCTAAACGCTTGAGCTCTCAATTGGTCGAGTCCTGATTGTCAGGATTTCCGGAACTTCTTCGTGGTGTCGGAGCCTGTCGAGGCCACCGAGGCCTGACAAGGGATCCGTTCTTTCGATCTTCCGAAATCCCTTAATTATATCAATTTTGACAGGTTTGATACCTGAATCATTGGAATGGGGGGAAAACAGTTCTCGAAGTGCATAGGGACTACACGAGGATAGTATGAGTAGTTATCAGACCTTTTGTACACCGTGAGCCCTCTCCAGCCACCGACTCCGAACGTCCAAGCAGCCTGAACAGCTGTCCGAGGCCTGTGTCCCTAAACCCAATAACCCTAAACCCCAAACCCGTAAACCAGCCTAAGCCCTAAGCCCTGGCTTGGGGTTTCAGAGCTTTGGGATTAGGGTGTATAGAGTTGGTGTTCCAGTCTGTGAAGACAAGCCTGCCCGAGCCTGAATCCATATTCGAGGTGATGGACTTCATGCAGAATTCCTTCGTTCGCGGGAACAGCGTTTCCGAGGCAGGCGCAAATCTACCGGCACTTTTCTGCTATGGCTTCCGTTGGTGCAACATTTTCAGCTGTCCGGACCTGGGCAGAGCAACGCACTGCGGAATTCTTCCCCGATCTCGCGTCAACTTCCCAGTCTCCAGAGCCCCATCAAGGACTATTTTTCTACTGTGCACGGGGGCCGATGGACGCCAACTCTCCTTGAAGGTACCCGGGTACCAAAGTCTGATGATTCTGGCCCCCACGTCCGAAATCTCATGATTTGGGGGTTCTTCTCATCACAGACTTTGCCCTGCTTCGGTGAGTGGGGTTTGAGCCCTTTTTTTGGTAGTAGAACACCAAATATAACTACAGTCTAATACACACCTAATTAAGATCCCTCTATTATGAAGTCACAAGTGATCTGCAGACTGCAAACAGCTTCCTCCCTGACAGGCTTGTGTGGCACATCTTCTCCGGCAGGCCGGCGCGGACTGATCCTAGGATAGATGCCTTCTTACTTCTTGCTTCTAACATTTTTCATCCTATCTCCTATATCATACATTGTATTTAACGCTACGCCTACCATGCTGTAACAGGTGAGAAGCATAATGCATTAAATGTTGGGAAGAACTTTGGGATAATCCAGTGAATTGTGCCGGAGTCGGTTGAAGAAGTCTCCATAGTAGCTGTCCTGTCAGGGCTCCACAGTGACATGCTCATTGGCCTTTTAGGCTTAGGGTTGCCATCTTAGCCCTTTTGCCCCTCCAAAAGTAAAAGCTGAAGAAGCTTGCATAATCGAGCCCAGAGCAAGCCAAAAGGAGCAACTGTGTTCTAGGTGTTCTTTAGGAGTCGTTGTTCATTCTTGTCGTCGTGTAAGCGAATCGAGAATCGGGTTTCTTCACTTCGGGCATTCGGGTGTCAGGTTTAGGGTCCTTACAGCAAGCATCCCGCTGTTTAGGGCTGATCGTTTGGTCCCCAGTTTTCTGAAGCTCCTACTGCACCCTGTGTGCAGTTGCCACATCATTCACAGGCTTCTCTTTCTAGCTACTTCTAGGAGCTTCAGAGAATTACAGCAAGGGGCGATCCCCAAACGGGCAGCCTTGCTCCTGAAACCCTGAACACTGCGCCCTAAACCCCACCGCCCAGAATCCTTCACCCGAACCCCGGAGTTTTAAGCCCTAGACCCTAAACCCTAAACCTGCAACCCTAAGCTTTAAGCCTCAAGCCCGAAACCTTAAACCCGACATCCTAAGCCATGAACCCGAAACCCCGAAACCTGTGTTTCAATCCTAAATCTGAAGCTCCAAAAATCCCGAACCCCGAGCCAAAAGAAGAGCTCCAGACCAAGGCAAAGCACTCTGAAGAGTGGGAGGGTCAAGGGTAGGGTTTAGGGTTTAGGGTTTAGGGTTTAGGGTTTAGGGTAACTTTAACGCTACGCCGCCCGCCTCGGC